TGTGGCGGTGAAAACCGGTGATGTGAGACATGAAAGTGGACCAATGGTCCACCCCTAAAAAGCTATAAAATTCGCTTGCTCGCGAGAAAAGGGATGTTCCATGACAGGCGACACGTGTGTGATGACACAATAGTGTAGTTGAGGCAAGAAAAGCAAGAAAATTCGGATGTCACACATGCACTCCTACACAGGAAGTTCCTATGTAGGAGTGTTTCGCGAGACTACGTTCCTATTAGGAACGTAGTCTCGCGAAACACTGGCAATATAACGGAGATCGACGCCTCCATTCACACTCCGTGCGGTACTGTACAAAAGGCTGCTCTTCGCGTGTCATGCGGCCATCTGACCTGACCTCATCCGAGTCGTGCCTCCATATCGACGAAGGTTACAGAACACATTTATGGTACACGGGTAGGGCCGGTGTGCTGTAAACGAGTGATGCTGTACTACCCTATGGTACAGTACAGCGGCCCTGCACGACGACCAACTTTCATTCGAACTGTTTCATTCAACTACAGAACTAGGGAAATACCCTTCGAAGGGTAGATGCCGCCGGGTCCAACTGCCATTCGGCCCTTGTCATACCGAATGCCCGTCTATTTCTCAAGCCTTCGTTTCATTCGTCCCTCACGGCCCTGCTGCCTTGCCATTGGCTGTGCGCAAAGCAAATCCACCTCTTCACAGAGGGCCCGCCTTCCCAACCTTTACAGCGGAAGGCTCAATTCTGCTGTTCTTCGGACAGCAGCTCCACGTTCTCGCTGGTGGGCGCTTTTCAGCTTCCTCCTTCTCGCAAACCCACCCCGCTTAACGTCAGCCTCGTCTTCCCCTCGTAACACCCCGCTGCAACATGTCCACCAGCATTGCGTCGCTACGGACGCCGCAAAACACACCGAACGGCCCTGGGGCCCGACTGGGTGACGCAACGGCGCTTGCACATACACTATCATTCTTATACAAGTATACCATGTGCACACTGCACAGGAACGCACACCGAATCTCAACATTCTTCGGTAAAGCTCCCCCGCGCCGCCCTTGACCATTTCAGCTGCCTCCGTCTCCGCCTCACCCGCCATCCCGTCCCCACACATCAGCAAGCCACACCCACACCCATCACCCGCCATCCCCCACTTGCCGTTTCCAAAATGGCCCTCTGCCTCTCCCTCCCCCACCTGCTGGAGCTGCTGCTGCTGCTCATGCTGCTGCCCTTCCGCGCCCGCTCGCACAACTGGCTAACACACCCCCCCGCCTTCAACCCGACGTTTGCGACGCGGGACTGCCAGGGCGCGGAGTGCACCAACGCGTGTCCGCGGATCCTGGCCCCGTCGCAGATGCGCAACACGGTGCAGCGGCCGGCGGCGACGTGGGCGCGCGGCCAGGTGGTGAAGGTGGCGTGGGCGCGGAACAACCACCACGGCGGCCTGATGCGTCTGTCGCTGGTGCCGGCCCCGCAGCTCAACTCGCGCGCGGCGCACGCGCGCTTCGCCCTGCAGTTCGGGTGCTGGGAGTCGGGCGAGTACGCGTGCGCGGCGGAGGGCGACGCGTGCGGCACGGACGGGCGCGGGCGCGCCTTCCGGCGGTACATACGCGTGCCGCGCGTCTTCGTGGACGGCGACTACGTGCTGGGCTACGTGTGGTACGGCGGGCTGCACTTCCGGCGGCGGCGCGGCGCGTTCGCCGACTTCCACTCGTGCGCGTTCGTGCGCGTGCGCGGCGGCGCGCGCGCCGGCGGGCACCACCGCGCGACGTGGGTGGCCGGCGCGGGCGACCGCGTGGTCGGCGGCAGGTGTCTGACGGCGTCGACGTCGGTCGGGCTGTGCGGGCGCGGCGGGTGCAGGTCGCGGCAGGCGTTCTACGGGATGAGCAGCATGTTCCGCGGGCGGAGGCCGCCGCGCATCTCCGCGTGGGACGTGCGGAGGGCGTTCCGCGAGGGCAGCGTCAGTGAGCTCGTCGGCGTTTGTAAGGGCACGGTCTGCTGCGAGAAGAGGTGCGGCTCGTGCGCTGGCGCCGGGTGCAGCACGGCGCCTGGGGGCGCCGCCGCGTGCTGCGCGTCGACCATCGAGAGGAGCGGCAGGCGGTGCGACAGGGTCGACCCTCCATGCGTGAGGGGGTGACGGGGGTGGGGGGAGGGCGGGAGTGACAGATTGCGGGAGCGTTTGGTGTGCAGGTTTGCGTGGTATTTGTAAAAAAAGAAAGAGTACCAAGGGTAGTGTAGCGGGATGCAGTGTGTTGAGGCGAAAGTATCGGCGAGGTATGGTTGCTGAGGAATTGCTCCATTGTTGGTGAACACGGTTTGCAGACTGATGCGAGGTACACGCCAGCACAATCTGGCGTGGGACGAAGCTTTTCTTTGTAGAAACGTGCGCGAGTAGGATAGGGAGGGTGTTAAGAGGGAAAGGAATAGAGAGAAGAGAAAGGAAAGGAGGGCGAGGCAGAGCACACTGGCGGGGGGAAGGCGACCAGGTCGCAGGTTTGTCTCTCCTAACCAATCTCTCTGTCCTGCTCCAACTCTCTCTGCTTCTAGATAGAACACGTCTATTGCTTGCTACCCAAGGGTAGTAGCGAATAAATATGTATGTACAGTATATTTTGGGACCTAATTACAAAATTTAACGTGCGCTAAATGGGCGGGCGCATGTCTATTGCCAAACCGATAGCCCTGTGCTCCTTTTTTTTTTTGTGACGGCTATTTTTTGCCCCAGTCGGGTTATTTTCCTCCTGCTTCGGTCTTGTTAAGCGTACGTCCCAAGAGTAGGTTCGTTGAACGCAGAATTGTGTTGTCGTTAAGAAGATATACGTTTTGTCTCCAGGAGACCCGTACTTTTCGAGTAGTGTCCTCCCGAAAAGTGTGGGGTGGTCCTATTTTGTGATCGGGGCATAAACTTCACAAAGTGCACACAAACGTCTCGAAGTTCTCACAAGTTTTGTGAATCTCGCTTTGTTTTTGTGAATCTCACTTTATTTTTGTGACGTCATTTTGTTGACTGTTATTATTATGCGACATTTGGGAAATGGTGGCACACATGACATCCTTCATATCATTTGGTAGAATACGAAGAGAGATTAAGGACTTTCATTGTTATGACATCAGAATATAAGAAAAAGTGGTCGATATGTCAAATCGTATTGGTAGGAGGTCCGCATATTTCATGCAATGGCAATGAGTCAACATAATCCTCAACATGAAAGCGAATCACTGTACACAATTTACATTTTAGTCTTTTTCGGTCGTCAGCACACCATAATTTCTGGGATAGCAGTACACATCACAATTTTAATGGAACTCGGTGTCACACATCCTGGATTTTCATTGTAAACAGTGCATTTCAACTCTCATTTTTTCGAAACGATACACATAGCGAAATTAATTGGCGGCTGCGGTCCATTCTCGGACTTCATCGGTAATCGGTACACCAAACTTGGCGGTGACAATACGAAGAGGCGAATATTTCGGCATTCTGTTGCGAAATGTATGTAAGAATATTCCCGTCGTCGTCGGACATTCACCACCGCCGTCGATACCCATCCTTACGAGTGTGTCGCACCCGACAGCGCCCTACCTTGGCCATTCGCTTCTGCAGTATACATCATTTGCCATTTCATGTCAGGTATGTTCTCCCTCCGCCATTATACATTATAAAACCACCGTTTTCCATTGCGAAGCATTGCCGCCTGCATTGCCATTACTATTTGAGCACCAGCACCGTTTTGCCATACTTTTATATGTCCACTTTTAACCACTCCTAGATCAACTGCGGCGACCATGTCGTATTGTAGTAACTCGTAACACCGAACTGCAGTTAAATCTCACTGTTTACGCTGATGTCCATTTACGTGGTCATTATGACGGCCATGTCCAGAAATTCCCTATTATTATTAGTTGCGGCCATGTGTCTTGTTGTTTAGACACGGTACTGTAAGGAACGTCGCCTGGCACTGGCGAGGTGGTGCTGTCATGTTCCTCCAGTGCCCGGCAATTGGGGCACCTGCCCTCACCTGCCCGCCCTGTTGCCCTCCGCGTTGGAGGCGGCGCGCCTGCACGTGCACTGCCACACGTGTACGGCGCCACCATAAGCGCGCCGCATCGCCACCACTTTGTCGCCGAAACTCCCCGCTTCCGACCGAACCAGACTCCTATCCAGCAATGCGCCCTGCTGCCGCTTCGGCGCTCCCCCGCTGCGCTCCCCCTGCACCAGCTCGGCCCAACCGCATTGCCGCCAACTCACACCGGAATCCCATACCCCGCGTTTCCTAATAACCGTCCCCATCTATCCCCTCCGCCCGTTTCGCCCGTTTTGCCAACCCCCATCCCCAGCCCGTATCGCTCGTCTGTTAACCGTCCCTACCATCCCTCCCTCACGTTTCGCGTGGATTCCATTG